GGAGGAGGTGTTGCGGTGTGGCCATCCCTCCTGGGGGGTGATTTCTCACTTTCTGTCTCTCTCTCTGTCTGGCGGGTACACGCACCCTATAGCAAAAACCTCTCCAGAAAAAAAAAAAAAAAAGCTTGTGGAAAAGTGAAATCAAAATACGTATGTATTTTGTGCACAATAAAACCTGAAATCCAAGAATAGTTTTTCATAATACACATTTTCATGTACTTCCTAGATTTGCCGTGTCTCTTTGCCTTCTCACACTATGCTTCTTCACACACACACACACACACACACACACACGCTCTCTCTCCTTCTCTGTTCATGTCCTTCTGTCATCCCTCTACTGTCTTAAGCAAATTGTAGTTCTTTAGCTCTGACAGATGTCAACGGTGGAGTTACTGTGCTCACCTGAAAGGATTTCCTGGCTCTGCTGCCCTGACTGGACCTTGACACCTTTAACAATGGGTTAAATTAAGGCTGCTCCCTTAATTTGATCCTGGGCAAATTAAAGCTAAGCTTTACTCTGTCACAGTGAGACATAATAACATAATTTGCTTTTCAAGTTATCTCATTGATCATTTCACTGAAAGTCTCAGTTCTGCATAACCTGTAACATTAACACTTTTTTCTAGAGAGACTTCTTGCTATGGGGCATATGCACTCACCCAAGGGACAGAAAGAGACAGAGAGACAGAAAGTGAGAAATTACTCCCCAGGGAGATGGCCATGCCACAATCCCTTCTCCATTTTCCTCTTGGGATTTTGAGCACGCAAGCACACACACCCAGCATGAGTTTTAAGCCGTTGAATCCGGGACTTGAACCGCATTCGACTACGTGGGAGTCCAGTGACATAACCATGATGCCATCTGCTGATCCCTTGTTAACACTTTTCTAGATTTTTGGCCTGGCAGCATCCCACCTCAAGGTTTCAGTTTCTTTGTTAGTCAGAGTAGGTCAGGTTTTGCTGCAGGTAGAAACATCCCTTAAGCCTCACCAAGATTTTTTTGTTGTTGCTCTTGTTGGTTGATTCATTGTTGCTTAATTGACATATAATAATTGTGCCTATTTATGTTGTAAAATGTGATTTTTCAGTACAAGAAAACAATTTATAATGATTACATCAGGGTAATAAGTTTATCCATCATTTGTCATTACTTTGTGTTGAAAGCTCTCAAAATCCTCTCTTTTAGCTAAGGTGTATGGTAAATTGTTACAACTATATTCACCCTTTCAGTACCTCATAACACTAGAAATAGTCCCTCTTATCTACCTGTACAAATATCATTCTATTCCCCATCCATCCCAGCCTCAAGCAGTTCTTCTTTCTCTCTTCACATCTGAGAGGTTATCCTTCTTCAGCTTCCACGTACAAGTGAGAATACGCATATTTCTCTTTCTGTGTTTGACTCGATTTGCTTTTAATAATGCCCATCAGGCTTATCCACATTGGCACAAATGACAGGATTTTGTCCTTTTTTCATGGCTGAATAGCATTGCATTGCGTGTGTGCATGTATGTGTATTTACCACATTTTCATCCTCTCTCCTGCTGTTGATGGACCCTGAGGTTGAGTCTACATCTTGGCTGTTGTGAGGGATGCTGCAGTGGACACAGGGTCAGATATCTTCATGGCATACTCATTCCCTTCCCTTCAGATCGATGCCTAGTGATGGCGTAAAGCTCCAAGGTCTATTTCTACCTGGGCAGGAGGGCAGGAAGACACCGCTCATCACGGCCAACGGGGCCCAGGCCATTAGAAGCTCCCTTTCTACCCAGGCTTCCACATCACTGAGATATGGGGAAGTAAATATGGTACGCTGTGCACTCACCCTTTGTCACCTTCCTCAGTGTGACACCTGTCAGCATTGTTCACATCTCATTGGCTAAAGCAAGCCATCGGCCACACCTCAGAGGAGAAGAGACGCTCATACAATCCCACTGCATTTCCCAGAGGGTGAGAACTGGAATTTCATAAACTGTCCTGATGATAATGACACAGGATAGATAAAAGAATGCTTCTGAGGGACCAGAGGTGGTGCAGTGGTTAAGGCTCTGGACTCCCATATGGTCGGCTGTGGTTTGAGCCCTAGACCTGGCAGCTTGAAACCCATGCCAGGTGCATATGTGTATATGCCCAAAATCCCAGAAGGAAAATAGAGGAGAAGGGATTGCTGTGTGGCCAACATCCCTGGGGGGCAATTTCTCGCTTTCTGTCTTTCTATCTCTCTAGCAAGCACATCTGCCCTATAGCAAAAATATCTCTCAAAAAAAAGAATGCTTCTGAAAGGTTTAATCAATAAAACAAAAAACAATATACACAGCTTTCTAAATGCCAGACCAGAGATAAGCAAAGAAAGCATTATTCACATAACAAAGGCAAAATATGAACACATGAAAACCATAAAACATAACAATAAAAATAAAACTTGTCACAAAGTGGAAGAATATGAAAGATTTACTGCTGAGTGAAGCAAGCCAGGCTATGAAGGAGAGACATTGTATGTCCCCACTTAATATATACTGAGTGTTGACACTCTAGAACAAACTGATTGACTAAAGGATATAGAAACACAGTAAATGGATGTAAACACCAGATACAGTGTGTGTGGAAGAGCAGAGTCTGAGGAAGGACATTTAGAAGAAAAATAGGCAAAGCATTAATGGGACAAAGAAATGTGGTATTATCTGTTGAAGATACTTTTATAGTTTTATCAACTGGACTAGGGAGAAATGTTCACATGTTGAAGTATTCAGACTGTAAGCTAAGTAATGTGATTTAATGTAAAAGAGAAAACGAAATTTTAAAAAGTTTTAAAAAATCAGAATCTCCACTGTTCTCACACATCTGCTATAAACAAGGTGAATCCCAGAAGAAAAAGAGAAAGAAAATAGACGTAATTGTGTTAAGCTCTCAAACTGGTTGAATGAGGCCAAATTGACAATTTAGAAGAAAAATCAAAGTGACACAAAGTTACCAGAGATTGGCCCACTGCGGCCCACATACCAAATTCAGCTCAGCCTGCCACCTGCTTTTTATAATACGTTGAGTTTTTCTGGAGCACAAGACATGCCCATTTGGTCACATCTTTCAACCTATAACAGCAGAGCTGAGTCATTGTGACATAGACTACAGTGCCCTCAAATCCTAAAATATTTACCTGGCTTTTACCAAATTAGCAAAAAAAAAAAAAAGAAAAAAAAAAAATGTTTACTGGCCCCCAAGTCAAATAATAAAGAATAAGCTAGATCTATAACACAGACGGAATAAATCTGTGGCTACAATATTATGAGTAGAAGGGAATCCTCTCTATTAAGTGTATACCAAACCCGAGTCTCAAAGAAGAGTAAAACTGAGCTCTCAGGAGAGCCGCCTACCTTTTCTATTGATATTTCATGATAAACTACATATAAAATTCTTAAGATAGAGACTGACTTAGTGTTCCAAGTCAGAATTCTTTCTTTTCTAAAATTTTTTTTAAAAAGGTTGTTGCTATAAGGCACTTGCGCTCGCCAGAAAGACAGAGACAGAGAGATAGAAAGCGAGAAAGCACCCCCTGGGGGAGATGGCCACGCCACAATCCCTTCTCCTCCATTCTCTTCTTGGGATCTTGAGGACACGTGCACACACGCCCGGCAAGAGTTTAAGCCACCAGGTCCAGGACTCGAACATTGGAGTCCAGCGATGTAGCCATTACACCATCTTCCGGTCCCCAGAATCCTGTCTTTATAATCAGAAAGATAGCATATTAGTCTTTATTTCTACTCAAATCAACCTTCGTTTAACCATTTTCACAGAATGCTGTTTGAGTGAACCCAACGTCATAACTCAGGGAGTAACATTCAACAATACAACAATGACTTTTAAACATATAAAAAATGTTTAGAAAAGAGTATAGTGCACATTTACAACATACATGAGAACTCCAATAACTTCATTAAACCAAGATGCTTTCATTACAATTTTTAAAAGATTATTTTGTTATTTATATATTTATTTTTAATTTGACCACAGAGGGACAGAGTGAGAGAGAGAGAAAGTGAGAAAGCAAGCTGCCAGGGATGGGACTCGAACCACAGTTGACCATGTGGGAGTCCAGCGTCCTTAACCACTACGCCACCTGCTGGCCCTCAATTATTTTTTGGAGGAATTTTTACTATAGGGCACGTGTGCTTGCCAGACAGACAGAGACAGAGAGATAGAAAGCAAGAAATCACCCCCCAGGGAGGATGGCCACGCCACAATCCCTTCTCCTCCATTCTCCTCTCGGGACCTTGGGCACGCACGCACATGTGCCTGGTGTGAGTTTAAACCACCAGGTCTGGGACTAGAACCATGGTTGACTACATGGGAGTCCAGCAACATAGCCATTACAATCAATTTTTTTTAATTAGGTCATTAGTACATATTTTTTATGCAAAAATACATCATTACTTTTCCAATGACCCAGTAATTAAATAAATGAATTTTTCCTCTATTTTCACTTTCATGTTGGATTAAACTTTTTAAATTTAATATTTTATGATTTCTTATTCAGATTTAATTGTGCATCTTTATAGCACACAACATGTTTTTTCAGAGTATGCTTGCAGTGCATAGCAATCAAATCAAATTGTTGGAACCAGCAGTTAGTGTAATGGCTATGTCACTGAACTCCCATGTAGTCGACCGCGGTTCGAGTTCCAGACCTGGTGGCTTAAACTCACGCCAGGTGCGTGTGCGTGCGTGCCCAAGATCCTGAGAGGAGAATGGAGGAGAAGGGATTGCAGCGTGGCCATTTCCCCTGGGGGGGAATTTCTTGCTTTCTATCTCTGTCTCTGTCTGTCTGGCTGGCTATATCAACCTCTCAAAAAAAAGGGGGGGGATATTATCGTTTACATCATTTTCATAGGAGAACTTGACTTTTTTATGTCTATTAAGTACTCCTTTCTTGAGCCCCTCTCACCCCGCCCTCTGCTATCCACTCCTCTTCCCTACAGTCTCTAGTGTCTACACTTGTCCTCCCTACCATTTTATCTTCAGATCTGTCCATTTCTGCCATGGAGTGCAGTAAATTGTTATACATTCAGTGAGGATAGACAGTGTTTGTCTTTCATAGTCTGGCTTGCCTCATTTACAATGAAATTTTCTATATTTATCCACTTTGTATCAAATATTAGGTTCTTACTGTTTCTACAGACGCATAATATTCCGCAGTGCACACACACTATATTTTCTCAACCCAATCATCAGTTACTGGGCACTTATTTGCACTCCATGTCTAAGCAGTTGTGAATAATGCTGCACTACACATAGATGTGCAAGTGTCTTTCTGACTATTTTCCTATCCTTCGGGTAGATATGAAGGAATGGGATTACTACATCATAGGGAGTTTTACAGGCATGTTTCTGAGGAAGCTCCGTATTGTTTTCCACAGTGACTGGACCAATTTACATTCTCACCAGCAGTGTAAGAGAGTTCTCTTTTCACCACACTCTCACCAGCACTTATCTTTCTTTAGTTTCTTTTTCTTTTTTTATTATTTATTTTTATTTTTATTATCATCATAATCTTCTTTATATTACATTGGATTACATATAACTTTACTGTGTATTACATTGTTTCTTCAAAAGGGAATGCCATGCACGTCAGTCAGTACAGAGACATTAATCTCCCCACTTCATCATTCAATATCTTTTCAATGTTTTTCCCAATCATTATTATTATTCTAATTATTATTTTTTAAACAGTCAATCACTATTTCTCATTTTGCTTGTAAAAAGACTTTACCCATCATGAAATACTTCTCAGACCAATCCAGTTGAGAATACTGTTCATGTCACCCTCAACAGGTAGTAAGTTCTGTAAGCATTGTCTGAGTTGAAGGGAAATTGTAAACATTAGGCACTTTGGTTAATAGTTGAAAGCCCTGTTGTAACCCAACAGAGAATAAGATAGGAACCATTCCCCACTGTCTTATCCTCATTAAGTATTCTCACTGCTTTTATGTCCTCCAATTTTCTACCATAGAGTGTGGATAGTCGGTATATATTAAGTGGATACATACAATATCTTTCTTTCATAGCCTGGCTTACTTCACTCAGCAATAGAGCCTCCATATCTGCCCACTTTCTTTCTTTAGTTTCTTGATCAAAGTCATTTTTATTGGGCTTATATGATATCTCATTGTGGTTTTGATTTGCATTTCTCTTCAATAAGAGATGCTAAACATTTTTTTCGCATGTATTTTCAGTCATTTATATGTCTTAGAAAGTTGTCTGTTCAACTCATTTGCTCATTTTTAAATTGGATTGTTCTTTTTTTGTGGGTAAACTGCTTGATTTCCCT